ACCTACTGAGTCAGAAAGAAGTGGGTCTTTTGTTTGCTGTTTTCTTGCTGATGACAGAATTTAGACATACTGAGAGGGAGTAACAAAGGAGACCAGTATCGTTAAAGCTGGTTGCTGGGATCTGCTTGTGGGTTAACCTATGCCTGGGGAGGGAGAGAGTCCAGGAGAAGGTTGAATGATACTACTGTATATTTTCAATACATAATAATTTTTTCAAATAAAGTTTTTGTTGTCATCCTTGACTAATTCTTCTGATATAGATATCATTGAGGAAAAATAGCTGGTCCTATCCCTTCTCCTCTCTGGCCTCCTGAGGGGCAGCAACTAATGGCTGCAGCTCATTTGAAAGGAAGCTGCACTGTGCTTGTCAAGCGACCTGGGACGTTAATAGCGGTGGTAGAACATAAACCTCAGCCTGTAAGCACCGGGTAGAGCTCTGACAAAGGCAGGAAGCAGAGAGGATAAGCACAGGCCCCAGGGGAGGGAGGCAGAGAGAGGGTAACCCCTCGCTAACGGTTATTGCAGAAAGCCAAAGTAGAACAGCAGTCCCCTATCTCTCTCTTTTTAGCCCAGGAAATGAAAGCTGAAACTGGGTTGCTGTAGAGATTAGGCTCTGCAGTTGTAATGCAGTCTCCTTTATAAGCAAATCCACTGCATTTGTGGACATTTCTGTGGTTTAAAACCCTTTCTTGATGCGCGTGCCTGCAATATACTTCCCCATCTGAAAACAGTCAGGGTAGTGTTCACAGAATTATACATACTTGCTGTAAAAAAACCAGACTAGATACTGGGAGTCACTCTGTGCTGGTCTGTGTGAAGCCAGGAGTGCAGCTGTAACGCTGCAGGTGTGTTTGTCATACGGGTGATGTCCCTGCCCATGGCAGGGGGTTGGAACAAGATGATCTTTAAGGTCCCTTCCAACCCAAACCATTCTGTGACTCTATGCTCGTTGGATTCCTGCCCCGAGTGTTTCTATTAAAACTGGCTGAGGTGCACAGAGCCCAGGAGTTGGGCACCACAACAACCATTGTGCTCTTAGGGCCTACAAGGCCAAGAATTTACTACAGATCTCCTCTACTAGTGCTTATTTAGGGAGTAGCTTCCTTTTACACTGTTGTTTGCCATAATTCAGTAACAAGAAAGGCAACGCATCCTTGGAAATCGTGAAGAGGCTGGGAAAAGGAACTTGACTTTAAAAAAAACGCATAAAGAGCTAAACCCCTTTTTCTCTTCGTTCTCTTATTGCTGAATTTGCCTCCAAAAAAAAAAAAAGTCTGCCCAGGAACAAAACAAGAATACTTGCAGTCAAGCCCTACGTGTTTTTCCCAGAAACTCCAGACTATTAATAGCTTCCCCTGGCGACTACATCAGCCCTCTGCTGAGACAAATAACGGCACAAGGGAGTGACTTCGCAAAACAGCGTCTCAACAGGGAGGAAGGCGACTGCGGCGCTCGAGTATAACCCACCTCCTGCAGCTGGCTTCTGGTCCTGTGGCCACCAGGGGATTTCTTTCGCTAGCCTCTTCCACCGCTGTGGAGATCTGCTAATCTTGAGCATGGAGAGACGCGTGTCTCAGGGGATCTGGTGCCTCGAGCCAGAAAATAGGCACGTGGTGAGGCCCCATCTGGAGCACTGTGTCCAGTTCTGGGCTCCCCACTTCAAGGAGGACAGGGAACTGCTGGAGAGGGTACAGAAAAGGGCCACAAAGATGATGAGCGGCCTGGAGCATCTCTCTTTCAAGGAGAGGCTGAGGGACTTGGGTATTTTTAGTCTGGAGAAGAGAAGACTGAGGGGGGGATCTGATCAACCTATAAATACTTAAAGGTGGGTGTCAAGAAGAAGGGGCCAGTCTTTTTTCAGTGGTGCCCAGGGACAGGACAAGAGGAAATGGGCACCAACTTGAATGTAAGAAGTTCCACCTAAGCATGAGGAGGAACTTCTTCACTTTGAGGGTGGCAGAGCCCTGGAATAGGCTACCCAGGAAGGGGGTGGAGTCTCCTCCTCTGGAGACATTCAGAACCCACCTGGACATGTTCCTGTGCAACCTGCTCTGGGTGGACCTGCTTTGGCAGGGGGGTTGGACTAGATAGATCTCCAGAGGTCCCTTCCAACCCCATATCATTCTGTGATTTAACAGGAATGGTCTGCCCAGGTCACAGGCTTGTTGGTAAAATAAGGCACAGCACAGCTTTGCTTTTCAAAAGGGGTGTTGTAGAGCACTGTGTTTCTTACACGCTCCATCCCTGGCACAATTACTCCTTTCCTTAGGTTTCTTGCTGACCACAACGAGCTTCCTCTTTTAGACACACCACTGTGCAAATTTTATCCTAAGACGACTCAGACACGCTTGCTGCTGTGTCCTCAACCCACCCATCTCTGTTAATTGCTCTCCATAAGGCACATGGCATTTGCTGACCAGGAACAAGGCAGAAAGTAAGAAAATTACAGGAGACTCACCCTGAAATAGGCTCAGCCAAGCGCCCGCTGAAACTGGCCGCTGTGTCCCCAGCTGTTTCCAGGCTGCTTTCTGAGTCCTGTGGACTGCTGCTTCCCCCGTCTCCCTTGGTGAGTCTCTTCACAGGTGTAAATCCGGAGCAGGATGGGTCCCCGGATCCTCTCTCCTGGCCTAAGGCCATTAATCAGAGCTCCAACATCCCAGGGACATCAGCAACATAGAGCAACCCTGGGGCTCTACCCTGCAGGCACCAGGTGGATCAGCTCCTCCGACAGCAGTAAACCTTTACTGGCTGTCTTAGATGCAGAGATCATATTCCTGGCCCCACTTCTTTGTGCTTCACCTCAATTACAAAGCTTAGGAGAGAGGAGTGTGTTTGGTTTCCTCTTCCCAGCCAGGGATATCCTCCATGCCCCCTAAGGCTGCCCCTGTTTCCTTACCCTCCTGCTGAAGGAGAGAGAAGGTGGCACAAGAATCTTTTAAACAGCTTATTAGTTCAATCCTTACCAATTCCAGTTGTTCTGTTATCCATATGTAGTTCCCATCATGAGGGATGAGATTCTTCCCCTCCTCTACCACCTTCAACCACTGCCCCATAGAAGCATGCAGCAGTCATAGCCCACCTGCCCCCTCCCAACGAAGGGACCTTGTTGTACTTCAAAGCCAAGAAACAGGCAAGCAACCCCTGGCTGAACCCAGTTTGAACCAGAAGGAAGCTCTTCTTCCTCAGGACAGAGAGACTGACCCAGTAGTTCTGCCTCTGAATCATCCCTCCTTGAGGTCCTCTTCAGAAATTCTGCAGGACTTCCTCATTGATTGCCCCAGAACGTGGTTTGGGGCAAAAAGAAGAACAGCAGCAACTACAGGAAGCCAGGCTTTATTTACCAACCCCAGCTCAGCCTTATCGAAGCGCTAGATATCCCTCACTCTCCAGTAAAAAGATGTATCTCGATTTCAAGCTTTGATGGAGGCTGGAAGCTTGCAAGTGAGAAACGTTTATGGAGGAAACTCCTAACCTCTCTTCCCAGCTTCCTCTTCCATGTTTTACAGGCAGGGAGAAAGCAAGCCACCCATCCCAGCCAGGCGTGGAGAAGGACAGGTTATTAAAAGAGGCTGTAGAATTTTCCTGTAGTACCGGTTCCGCTATGCGGTGTTTTGCCGTCTCATTCCAGGTGAGGTATGAGTCAGGATACAGTCAAGCTATTTTTAAAAAGATCTCTCAGACAGACAGCTGTATCCCAGCTACACATTCGGAGAAATGTTCGCTGTTGATGCGAGCCATGGTGACACGCAGAGCTGCACATCACAGGACAGAGAGGAAACGATTGAACGGGGCTTTATTTTTAAAGATACATGAGCTGGGATGGTGGCGGGAAGAATATCACCTGATGTTTATTTTGGGCCTAGAAAAGTAAGTGCACTTACTGTAAATGTGGGCTTTTCTCAGAGATGATGTTTTAGACACAGAGGAGCTTTTCAGAGGAGCAGGGAAAGATGGCACCTTTCTTAAATTTCAGTGGCACGTCTGTATCTACATCCTGAGGATGCTTTGAAGGTTTGTTCTGCCTGATCCTGCTCTGCTGGCAGAGGGATGAAGCGAGCAGCAAACAGACCCTGTGTCATTCCCCAGCACCCCAGGAGCAGCACTCCTGGGGTGTGGGTTGGGTTCCTGCTGCTCTCTGCTCTGAGGCTGTGACTTTTTTTCCTCCCCCCTCCTTTCTTTGCCATCTTCAAGTGCAAACTCATCCCAGCCCCACGGCTGTTCTCAACCTGCTGAGCTGCTGCTCCAGAACTGCACAGCCCTGAGAGAGGTATGTTTTATATACAGACCAGTTCCCTGCCCTGCAGGGACAGCTACGTGGTCACAGGGACAAGGTGATTTGTCCCCACAAACCCTGAAACACCCATTTCAGCCTTCCTCACCATTTACACTCTCCACCATGGCCCTTGTGGTTTGAGAAGAAGGTGGGAGGTGGCCCGTGCAGCAGCTCCCCACCATGTCACCCTCAGCACAGCGTTCCTGAGGAAATGTCCTGGGAGCATCAAGACAGAACCTTCAAAGCCCCTGCTGAAACCACCCGCAGATGTGCTTTGCACACAAACATCATAGGCTTCTCCTCCCACCCAGGAGGATCAGGAGTGTGAGGTGAAGCGATGTCAGAGGCAAATGCCAACCAAGGTCTAGAAAGGCTCACCTCACTCAGCTCCTGCTCTTTACAGTAGTCTTCAATGTACCTTTATCTGGCTGCCTGCAGAGGCATCAGCATGTCCATACTGGAGAAGCCCCTCGCCCAGGGTTGGCCAGACATGGTACCTGTGTTGCCAGCAGCTGGTGGTCTCCAGCAGCCTGCTCACAACCTGTCGAGCTGTCGAGTCAATGCTGCAAGATGGTGGTCTGCCCATGTAGAAAGGACTCACCTTCACACGATGGGAGAACCTATGAAGGTGTCCCACAGCCGAGAAGTGCAGCACTTTGTCCCTGTTCAGTGTCACTGCGTCCTTGTCAGAGCACTGCTGCTGAGGGCTTGCTTGGGCTGGAGCTTCCTGAATGGGTGGCAGAGCAGGAGGACACCATGGCTCAAAGGTGACAACGCAGGAAGCACCCTGTGGTTTCCAGTGCTGCTGGGTGCCAAGACTTCATGGTCTGCAGATATACTCATCGGACCAGCTGTGGCAGTGCTGGACACCATCCCGGCAGAGCCTCCTGGGGATGCAGGAGCAGAACTCGTAGAGCACAGGGCTGCAGCTCCACCACTCCGACCCACACAGGGGGCAGGCGGCCACTGGGAGGGATGGAAAAGAGGGAACAGAAATGATTCTGCTGCACTGACCCATTCCCTCCTCTCTTGGGTGGGTAGCTACCCTTTCACCCCCTGGCAGCTACTGCAAAGCCACTGGTGATGACCCTGCGTCTGTGAACCCACCAAAGAAGACACTTGCTTGATGCTACTAGTGGGAGACAACCACAAAGTGTGACATTGTGATGACCTTAATGGCAGATGTCATGCTGAGCAGAACAACTACCTGTAGTTTTTTATTTTTTACTTTTTAGCGAGCTACTCTAGAGAAAGCCATTGATATGGGCAGGTCTTGCCTGAGTTTCAGATCCAGAAGGGTGACTTAGAAGCAAGCCTGTGGCTCATTTTAGTGAAAGAAGGATCTAGATGGCTTTGAAGCTGCTGAGGCACATTCAGTCCCTCTGGCTCAGAGACACACCTATCTCCTGACCAGCCACCAAAGGCCCATTTGAATGATGGCTGCTGCCTACAGCTACACATCCCAGCGAAACTGCTCCACACTCAGCAAGCTGCAGAGGAGGAACAACTTCTGGGGCTGGGAGCAAACCATGGAGCCTTTCCCCTCGTGGTTGCCACCAGGCGTTGGCACAGAGCCCTTGGCAGCTGATGGGAGGGTGTATGCATGAGTCGTACTCACATCCTACCCCAGCTATTTTGCATTTTAGCTGCGGACACCAGCCTCAGTGTTTCCAGCAACACCAGTGAGCACCTTACCAGTACAACCTATTTCAATCCATCAGCAGAAAAGAACCTTTTGCCCACCAGCAGCCAGAAGAGAGACTTACAGCTGCCCATCTCATCGGAGCAGTCTCCGCAGTCGTTCATCCCGTTACACCTCTGATCAGCATAGACCCAGACCGAGGGGTCACTGCAGCGGAAAACCAGGTGTCCTGGGAGGCTGTGGGGCAAGTCACCTGCAAGGGTGGACACACAGGACACATGCTCAGCTCCACTGGGGACAGATTGGGACAGTATCTACCAAAGGCTGCTGTCAAGGGGTGGGGGTGTGTGTGTGGGGGGGTGTGTGTGGGGGGGTGTGTGTGGGGGGGTGTGTGTGGGGGGGTGTGTGTGGGGGGGTGTGTGTGGGGGGGTGTGTGTGTGGGGGGGTGTGTGTGTATGTCAATCGGTCCTTTCCCATGCAGAGTCAGGGCATGAATGTCACTGCAGATGGGGAAGCTGTGGTTGGAGAGGGAAAGGGATGCTCATGGCTGAGCCAGAAGCAGAGGCTGGGTGCCCCAGGCTTCTGCTTTAATAAGGTTTTTTTCCAGTGTAACTGGACAATAAATTCACCATGTAGGCATGGAATCATTACAAACCCCTCCTGGACCAACAATCGGACTGGGACCTAACATCAACTTAACCAATGGAGGAATCATGATTTAAAAAAGCTGCATCATGGTTTGGAAAAAAAGAACCCTAGGAAGATCGGAGGAACTTGGAGTCTTTGGTTCCTGGCACTCCAGCTGGGTTTTGGGCAGTGCCATCTCTCAGCATCTGCCCTACAAAGGATCTACCAGGTTTATCTGCTCACGTACACGGCCAGGAGCCGGAGCAGGATTAGAGGGACATCAGCTGCTCTGTCTCATGATAGGAAGACCAGCGTGGGGATGACGGTCACAACAAAAAAACTCACCACAGAGTTCCTCCTGCTCGTCCTCTCCGTTTCTGCAGTTGCTGACTCTGTTGCAGACCTGGCTGGCAGGGACACAGGTCACTCTGTCATCACACAAGAAGCCTGTCCTGTTCTTGGAGGCTGCACAGAAGCGGTTCACTGGAGGGAAAGCCAGAAATACTTTATTTTCCAACATTTTCACAGTATGAGGAATAGATCAAGGGGAAGAAAGGGATTTTTTTCTGAAATTCATTTGTTATTCTAGAAGTAACCAGGGGCAGGACTAATCTCTGGTAGGTTCATGGCAGAATAGAATCATAGAATCTTTTAGGTTGGAAAAGACCTTTAAGATCATGAAATCCAACCATTAACTTAGCACTGCCAAGTTATCACCACTAAACCATGTCCCTAAGCACCATATCTACCCTTTTTTTAATTGCCTTCATGGATGGTGACTCCACCACTTCCCTGGACAGCCTGTTCCAATGCTTGATAACCTCTTCTGTCAAGAAATTTTTCCTAATATCCAATCTAAACCTCCCCTGGCACAACTTGAGGCCATTTCCTCTTATCACCTTTGATTTGGGAGAAGAGACTGACCCCCAACTCTCTACATCTCCTTTCAGGGAGTCATAGAGAGCAAGAAGGTCTCCCCTCAGCCTCCTTTTCTCCAGGCTGAACAACCCCAGCTCCCTCAGCCGCTCCTCATCAGACTTGTTCTCAGACCCCTCACCAACTTTGTTGCCCTCTCTGGACCTGCTCCAGCACCTCAATGTCTCTTTTTGTAAATGAGGGGCCAAACCTGGACACAGCACTCGAGGTGGGGCCTCACCAGTGCCAAGTACAGGGGGACGATCACTGTCCTAGTCCCGCTGGCCATACTATTTCTCATACAGGCCAGGATGTTGTTGGCCTTCTTGGTCACCTGGGCACACTGCTGGCTCATATTCAGCTGGCTGTCGATCAACACCCTAGGTCCTTTTCCACTGGGCAGCTCTCCAGCCACTCTTCCCCCAGCCTGTAGTGCTGTGTGGGGTTCTTGTGACCCAAGTGCTGAAGACACCACCAGTATGACCGTATGACCTAGAGCCACCACAGCTGTATGGAGCAGGACACTGGAGCCAAGGAATGGCTGGTGGTCCTTTTCCTTCCTCCTGGTCTGCGCTGGGAAGCCCCATGATGGACATGAAGGCTCATCTCATGCAATGCCATTCTCTGCCACGCTTACCAAAAAAATAACAACCCTTGGGATACCGACCTGGTGCACGTTGCAGGAGTCCCAGTGCCACCGCCAAGCCCACAGCAGCCATGAGGACAAGCAGCACCATGGCAGAGATGCAGACACGTCTCCATGTGCAGCTGCGTGGATGGCAGCAGTCTGTCCAGAGGCAGGAGCGAGAGGTGAGGGGTTGGGGAAGGGTTGGGGTGTTTCGGAGGGGAATGACACAGAGCCACGAGGGTGATGTTTCGGTTGTTCTACATGCAGGACTGGCAGGAGGCTGCTGGGGTTCGGGGGTTGATAGTTGAGTTTTAATAGCCAAGCGATGATGTTAAACACCTCCTTGTGGAGAATTTCACTGCATGCAGTGTGGAAGAGCCCGTGGTGCCATGACAGAGCAACATGACCAAATGGCACCAACACCACATCTCCATCAGAGCTCACTCAATGCACTCGGATGCAGAAGGATGGAGAAGGCCCAACCTGGTGGGACAGCAGTGCCCTTTTCACAGTGGGAGCAGCCAAAACACAAGCAGGTCAGCGTAAGGCTGGGAAAGGTGCCCTCCCACAGCAAAACTCTCCAAGAGGTAAAAATTTCACTTTATGGCATTTTGAACTTTCTGCCCCAACTAGGACTTTAACACTCCCACAGAATGAGGCTGAATTATCATATCATAGAATGGTTGAGGTTGGAAGGGACCTTAAAGACCATCGAGTTCCAACCCCCCTGCCATGGGCAGGGACACCTCCCACCAGACCAGGTTGCCCAAAGCCCCATCCACCCTGGCCTTGAACACCTCCAGGGATGGGGCAATCGAATTACCAGCTCAAACTGGTGAGAACTGGCCGAAGAGCAGCCCTTTTCCTCCCCAAAGACATCTCTGGGGTACAAAAGGCAGCAACTTCCCAGGGACTGCAACTTTCAGAAAGTCACATACGTAAATCAAAGCAAATCCAGAAGACAAATGCCAAACCCACAGCCATTGCAACACAAGGGCAGCACACGTAAGAGCAACGCCGCTCAGCTCAGCTCTCTGCAGCACCAGAGCTTTGTCTCTAAACCAACATCGTGTTTTCCTTTGTACTTCCAGACCAACAGGAAAAAAAAAAATAATAAAAAAAATTAATGTGACCATCTGAGAAACACATAAGTGGACACTTAAGGCAACCCATGCCTTATACATAAGGCATGTATAATTGGATTTTTCTGAACTTAAAGAGCTTTGGTCGAAAAGTTAGAATTTGCTGTAGTTGTGCTTCATGTTTACTTAGTTGTTGTGCTGCACAAATGAAGGCCCAGCCTTTGCTCAACAGTAAAGGGCTCCTGGCTGCAGTATCCACCCGCTCCGTCACGCTTGAGCGGGAATCAAACACAGAACGCTTCAGCTTGAAAGAAAAGTGGTGAATTACAGCATGTCCCTGTCTGCAAGACAACACCTTAGAGCAGAAAGCACAAAAGCTGCGAACAGACACAAGTATAAAATAAGGGCAGTGGAGGAAATGTTGTTGCAACCCGATCTGCGGGTTTGCCATTGATTCTGTTTGATCTCACCTCCTCTCCTTAAAACGGTCAAAATTTGCTGAAGTTTGGCTGGTAAAAGTGTATAGAAAGCCTGTAGGTAGTTCACAGTGAGCCCTTCTGTGACAGACAAGGATTACTTATCGTGCTACTCTACCATAAGGCTGCCAACTCCGGGCCAACAGAGAACAGCTTAAGTTTATTAATTTTATAGTCTGGACGTTTCACTACATAGAAGAAGGGGGTGGGAGGGGTGGGTGGGAGGAATCAGTCTCAACAGACCATAAATACTGCTTGCCTTTTACATTACTTAGATAGTTTCGATTGATTTATACTTTAATAATAAAAACGCTAAGCTCTGCATTTTATTCGTTACCTCTTCTTTCCGAGAAGGACTTTGCTGAATCAAAAGCAGCTACATCACCGTTTCTCTAGAAGGAAAGGAACACGAGACTGTTTAGAGAAGCAGCACACAGTACCCTCACGAGGTATGGCTTTCTAGTTCTCATACCCTCTTACCCAGGAATATAGAATGTGTTCCTTTATTTTTATATACAAGTCGAAATTGCCTCAGTGGAAACGTAGCCCAGAGATTTAATTCACCAAGCGATCAATCAGATCCCCTTTTAAACCTTAGTTACCCATTTGTAAAACAAACACTAACGCAAGTCCAGCGCTTTGTATCAATGCTTTCCTTTTGTATCAAAATTAGGTTTAAGCAGAAATGACTCTCACAGGAACTAGTGATACAGAGATCAGACAAACACCACTATCAGGAACACGTGTACTTTAGGAAACAGCCGCCCGGAAGATTGTTTTTTCCCCAAAGAGAAGGACTGTACCTGGGGGTGAGTTTTGTTCTTCATGTTTCCCAGAGCTCCAGCCCTCGCAGCAGCTCAAAGGACCGCCGGGAGTTTTCTGCACCTACCAGGAGTGATGTTACCAGGATACAAAGCCCAACAGAGGTAGGAGAGCACAGCGACGCGCTGCTGCCCGGGCACACAGGCAGGAGAGGACGGGGAAGGCAGCACCAAGCCCGTGCTCCAGTTGGAAGCTGGGTTTCTGGTTTGCTTCTCGTTCCCTCCAAGCTCCGTTTTAGTTTCATAGCAGGTCATTAGGCAAATCATAAAGGACACAGAGATTTTGGATGTGGAGAATGCCGCTCAAAAGATGACCGCTCACCACCAGCTGATGTCAACCATGTTTACCCCGGTGCCGGTCAGGGAGAACCCCCACTTCGTGATGAAAGCTTGAGGGAAGGATCTGATCATCTTCATTCAACTCTCCTTTCTTCCCACCTCCTTCCAGGGAGCTGACACACTGACCTCGTAGCAGCATCAGCCCAGACTCCTGCAAGGTGATCAGATCTCAGCAGAGCTGGGCAGGATACAACCATCTGGAACAGCTACCCTGCTTGGGCAACAAGCACAGGCAGAGCGAATCCTCCAGGGTCCTCTTTTTTACTTAATTCAAATTACTGGAATTTCCAGGCCTGCAGTAAGTCCCAGCAGCTCAGCCTGTAGCTGACATGAACTCACAAACAGATTGCAGCCTTCTAAACTGGCTGCAGGTCTCTGCAGAGATGTACATGCAGAACAGAGTTTCATCAATAAGACTTTTCCTTTCTTGAATTTTCCCTCTGCGAGTAACTGAACTTTCAAACACTGCACAGCTTTTACTGAAGTATTTTTGACCTCAGTGAAGCAACAAAATGTGAATGTCTCATGAGCAATATATACGGAAAGTAAGTTGCACCCCGTGCGGAGCTGGACTTTTTAAAGACAGTCTCAAAATATGACATAAAAGACCGATCAATTCTGAAAAAGCTTGATTGTGACCAAAAAAGAAATATTCCTCAAGATTCTCCCACCCTCTTTTTCAGATTCAAGGACCTTTGGGATAGCAAGGCTGAGTTCTGCTCCCACAGATGTTCCTCTTCACTGCTTGTGAATTCTGTCATCATGAAGCACATACTCCTCTGAGTCACCCTGTCATTTCTCCTCGGCAACGGTCATGGCAGTAGGGAAGTGTCATCCTCGTGGTACACCAGTAGGCACAGTCTAATCATAAAATGATGGAATAACTTAGGTTGGAAGGCACCACTGGAGGTCATCCAGCCCAGTTTACCACTCAAATGAAGGAGAGATTCAAAGTTAGGTTCAAGGTTGAAGCTGAGGTTGCTTAGGTTACCAAGGCGTTACTTGGCAACGCCAAGAATTAAGTTGAAATTTCTTGTATCGTAGTGTGCAGCCCCCCAATTATATATTTCATTATTTAAGAAAGTAGTTGTAAAACCATGCTGATCTAGTTTAGCTTATGAGTTGGTAGCATCCCTTCATCTCTGGAGGTATTTAAAAGACATGTAGATGTCATGGTTTAGAGGTGGACTGGGAAGTGTCGAGTTAACGGTTGGACTTGATCTTAAAGGTCTCTTCCAAGCTAAATGATTCTATGATTCTATGAGCAGGCAGCTTTGCCATGGGGGTAGGGGGGAGAAAAAGCACTGGCATAAAGTCTCCAAGGGGCCCATGTTCTTCTTGCTTGTAGGAGGGTCTGTAGGACACAGGTGCCCCCAAATTGTTGCCGCCTCAGATCATGATTCTTCCCCAAACAGTAGCAAAATTAGCTCACTGGGGCTTTGGAGGAGAAGCTGGCAGCTATATTGCCTATAAGTCAGCCCCGAGACAGCTGCCTTGAATTGATTCAAAGCATCAAAATGTGCCCAACATGAAAGAATAATCACAGCTACTTCCCTGTCCATCCCCACACATACACCTCATTCTTGGTTACGTTGAGTTAATATACGCTTCTTGACATGGGCATCTGCCAACCCTTCACTCGCCTGTCCATAGACCAGCCAGGATGAAACACAGTCCCTAGGAGCTCCTCCTTCCGTGTGGCAACACCAGTTTGTCCAAAGCAGAAGCTTCTCACAGGAATACATCACCAGTAAGTTTGGTGCTCTCCTGTTCTGAGGGGAATTTTGGGTGGAAACACCAAACCCCAAACAGCCTGCAAGTCTGGGCACCCGCTGCAAGAGGGAAGAGTAACAGAGTAAAGGTTTAAAACCTGCATACCTTAAATTTGGGATCTGTTTCTCTATAAAGAGGAAGTTTAAGTTTCTTATTGGACTTGATAGAGAAGAGCTGTTCTGAGCCTGCAAAAAGCTCATTAGCAACAGTGAGCTGGCCAAGAGTCCCATGTAAGAGCCAGGCCAAGCCATCCACATCCTATGAAACAATCCAGGATGAAAACATTTAAGATGTGGAGTAAACCCACTCTTTGAGGCCAAGGTCCATAAGACCTGATGTCTATCACCACCTGTTTCCTCCACCGAGGTGATGGAGCTCAGCTGTAGCCAAGCAGGCAGCTGGGTTTCACAACAGTTACCCCACACCAAAGATCACTAGTTCACGAGAAGGAAGCAACAGACACAAGCAAGTCCTTCTGAAGTGAAAATAAAAAAAAGATAAAATCTTTACCAAAGATCAGAGAGGCTGAAGAGAGAGCACAGCTTAAGATATCCGGTATGACAGGAGACTGTTGTTAATTCCAGCACCTAAAAAAACCACCCCAGACTAAATGTACCGTGGCTATTTCAGCCAGCAGTGAACTGCACACACTTCAGAGGGTTGCCTCCATTTGTGTCAAGACGATTCCACTTAAAAATCTGATACAAGTTGAGTTGAACACATGCCTAAAGAGACTATAAAAGGCTTTTTCTCCCGCAGTTTCAATAATTTAAGGCCCTTTGTTTAAACGGTGGTCTTGGGCAGAGACCAAACCCCAAGCTGCCGCCTCTGAAAACGAAGATGTCAGAAGTCAAACTGTTAAAAAAAAAAAAAGATTGGTAAAACAAGCCATTTTGCAAAGCCAAATGCCAAGATAGCTTAAATACCCCATTTAGATTAGAAATCTTGAGAAACAGCTCAATTACCACAGCCTAGGCAGTATCTGATTTTACCGAGGGAAGATCCTGTGACAAGAGCTCACAAGTACAACACTTGGTGAATTCTCCAGGCTCTGGCTGGCGCTGGGAAGGGCGGTGCCAAGTGACAGATTGCCACGGGCACAGCCTACCCTGTGACCCAACAGCACAGTTACTGGATCACTGGCTTCACTGCACACATTACCGAGCTGGAATGTCATTAAACAGCCAACAGAAGACAAAAAAACCCCTAAAACTTCTGTTGGGTTTCCTCCCTTCGTCGCAGGCAGATACAGCGCCACAGGGAAGCAGAAGTGTCTGTTTAACCCAAACCTGGGAATGCAAGCCAGAAAGTCAAAATGTTTGGGAAGAGAAAGTTTTGTGAAATCAAGTCATCAACCTGAGAGAGGCTGCGCTGCACGCACACACTGAAACAGGCAAACAGACAGGTTTTCCTGAAGCTGGAACACTCCCTCTGCAACTACACCGAACAGCAAAGGAGAACATTTTAAGACTCGAAAACATTTCCACGGTGGTTTTTCAGTTAGAAAAACTGGGATTGCTAAAGTCTCCTCTGGAAAGGCAATCCCCAACATTGTGCTAAGAAGACAGGCAATAGCAAGTGACCTAGAGGCCGTATTTGCAAAGTAATTTTTGAACATGAGTTCCACCCATCACATCTGACACCGCTCCAGGTGGAACGCTGGCCTCCTGCACCGAGGTTTGCACCTGAGCAGAAATGCCTCAACTGAGCCACTGCTGCAGACAGGGATTTCCCACTCCTGCTACCATGGCAAGTGAACAGTGTTCCAAAAACATCTCACCATCCATTTTCACCAGTCACACTTGAGACCCTTGCAATAAAGCCACCTACACACAAAGGTACCTGTCAATGGCTGCTGGCACCCACATTCCTGGGCTACCCTGCTGTCCCACAAAGAGGTACCACTGATTTGACACTTCAAATTGCAACTTTCATACCTTGATACAAACACTTCAATGCTCTTAAGCCCATTTAAAAGAAAAACCACTCAAGTGCTCCCAGGCTAACGGCTTCTGCAAGGCTCCATCCTCTGCAGTCACACAACCCTCAGCCCTACAGCCAATTACAAATTACTACTGAAACAGTTTTAACATCACTGTATCCTCCAGAGCCTCTACACCTCTCACCAGAATTCAACACCTGAAGAGGTGTTGTTTGTTTGTTGGTTTGGATTTTTTTTTTTTTATAAGCAACAAAATATGACAATGGGTTGGAGATCCTGCATTCTAGCCAGCTTTCAAACACTTACAGAGACCTTAAAATAAATCACATACACCCCCAATTTGCCAATGCGATGGGAACCAGCACATAGTAATCTCCCCAAAGAAAAAGAACCACAAAAAAAAAATATTAGGCATGTTGTTAAATATCTGAGGGACACTGTTAGTTGTTGTTGTGTTAGTAAATCACACAGCAAAATCAGGTCACACTACCTACAAGGGGAAGGCCACAGACAGGCTTTCAAACTGAATATGTTGTGGTCAATAATTAACCATAGCAAAAAGCTGTACAGCCAACGTTTTCTATACAGTCAATTTTATTTGTCTCTTCTCATTTCTCAGGAATCAACTTTTTTCTGTAAATGAAGTTACAAGACTAGAATAATTAATCAAGAACAGAAAGTAGAATTTCTTCGGAAAACACAGGCGCTAACTTTACAAGCAATTTAAGACTTAAAAGCTAAAGTTTGACAAAATAATTAATCGTGTGATGTTCTCGTGTGAAGGGATATGTCCGTAAGTTTTAACAGAGTTTCTATCTTTCACAAACCAAGTTCTAGCCTGCAGTACCTCACAAATGCTTTCCATCTTGGATATTACCACACTGTAGAAAAAAAAAAAATATATATATAGTTCTGTTTTTGGAGACAGGGTTGTTTGTGCATGGACATTAAC